TCACTGTTATGAGTAGTGGGGTCTAACCGGCTGCACATGAATGTCTCCCAACCCTTTGCCTCAAAGCTTAATGTGTTTCGATAGATTGGGATCCCCGGTGTCAACCAAGCTAGTGTAGTCCCCGAGAGAGCAATTATTGATGCCAGCCATGGGCAGGCCAACTCATCCATGGCCACCTTATCCAAATACAAAGACTCATCATTAAATCCGGCATAGTCGTTCAAAGTCTTCCCATCAAATTTTATCTTTTTCGTGCCTTGGTCACAAATGTGCCCTTTTTGGTGTGGGCGACATTGGCATAAAACTCTTTCACTAAATGCTCATTGGCCTCCGGCAGCTTGCTTGTGAAGAACTTCCACCCCACTCTTTAATTAAACCGCCTCTTTACATTAGGGTTGTGGGGTAGAAGATCCCTTTCTATGAATTGCTGCTCATATGTGAGTGACCTCTAAAGCCACCATTCCCGGAATTTATGGTAGGCTTTCTCACTGACGAATCTTTCTTGCCACACCACCGGGTTCTATGTTCTCTCCAACCCTCCAGTCTGGGTATCACCCCCTCTTCCGTCATTCATTGTCTCAGCATCTACATCAATTGGCTCTTCTCTAGGTGGAGAGGCTGATGTTGAAGACTCACTATTGTCCTCTGAGCCATCAGACAACTCAGGAGAAGCAGGAGAAGTAGGTGAAGCTGAGGGTGTAGGCATGTCTCTCAACTGAAACCTCCTTGGGAAGTCGGGGACCTGAGTAGGTGCAGAATCACCCTCCGAAGCCTCTCGGGAAGGGACATAATCACTTCCCTTGGAATGGGATGCGATTCTATATGCAGCTTTAAGTGCCATTCTCATTTTCCCAATTGATTGTTATACTGTTAGGAGTAACTTGATTTTTCCTCATCCCCTACCCCGGGAGGACTCTACTTTCCATTTTTGTTTCTTGCTTCCACCTTTGATTTGACCATTGTTTCTATACACAATCAGTGAAAGATCATTAGTATTGTTGCTAAAAGAATCAGTAAAGAAAGGTAGATTAAAAAAAATTTATAGTGTTCCAACAGGCACAGATCCGCTAACAGCGAAAATGGAGCGCGGTCACGGATTAGCTACCGCTGAGAGCAGAATTTCGAATTCGGCCGCAGAGGACTGGGATTTAGACTACCCTGTCTCTGAATTTGAACAACCAGTGAGAGCAAAATTTTAGGCACGACCGCAGAAGTTGAACCGTTGTCCACGAAAAAACAAACACGGTCGCAGACCCAATTTGACACTTCTCTGAACTTTAATTCCGCTGACCGCGAAAAATGAAGCGTGGTCGCGTAAACTGGTCCACTGACAACAGACTTTCCACCGGTGAGAGTGGAATTTAAACCAATTGTAGCACATAATTTCACAAGAACGCTGACTGCGGAATTACATCCGCGGCCGCGGAATTCAAAAATGAATTCGGCAATCCTTGGGTTTCAACTTTTCTTGTCAGTAGCAAGGGTATTATAGACACCACTAACCCCTACTAGGTATTAACTAATTAACCCTAACTATTTAAGCATAATTCAATTAACAATAATGAACCCTGGTTGAAATTAAAAGAAAAGAGGAAGAAGTTAAACTAAACGAAAAGAAAAGAAAAATTATAGAAGCAGTGTTATGATTTGCACATAACAGTGGATTGAATTAATGTTGGAAATTGACTTCTAATTAGAGTGATGCAAATGGGCTCAGATTTAGGACATATGAACTGTAGAAAAATTCTTTTGAGATTTCAAGGAGCGAAAAGGGTAAAAGGTCTGATGACCTTCTATTTATACTAGAAAGCCCGGGACCCACAGAGCTTACCTGGCCCGGCCGCGGAATTCCATCGTGGTTCGTGCTTTACCTGTTCTAAAGAGCTGTATGTTCAACATTTCCGCTGATAGCGAAAAATGGACGCGGCCGTGGAACACATCCGCTGACCGCGAAAAAGCCACCGCGGACGCGGATGAAACTTCAGAGAAGTCTCATTTTTGACTCTTCAACTCCGCATCCACTACCAAATTATTCCCCCGCGAAATGCTTCCGCTGACCGCGGAATTTTGAGCGCGTTCAGCGGTCCAGTTACAAACTTAGCCAAAATTTTCCAGTATTGTCCTGCACTGCATCAAACATTCCTACACATATCTCACAACCAGTTAGTTCAAAACAAATCCTACACTAAGAATAAAATGAAAAACACATGGGTTTCCTCCCAAGAAGCGCCTGATTTAACGTCGCGGCACGACGCATGTTAGCATCATCATTTGAAATTGATCAAGGCCACCACATGGCTGTCATCAAATTTTCCCATGTAGTGTTTGACTCGGTGCCCATTAACTCTGAAAACTTCACCACGTTTATTCTTCAAATCAAGAGCACCAAATAGAGTCATATGTACCACTTCAAAAGGGCCACTCCATTTTGAGTTGAGCTTTCCCGGAAATAGTTCAAACTGAGAGTTGAATAAGAGAACCAAGTCACCCTCCTTGAATTCCTTGCTCCATGCATATTTGCCATGTAAGTACTTCATTTTGTACTTATATAAGGACGAGCTGGAATAGGCATGAAACCGGAACTCATCTAGCTCATTGAGTTGCTCTACCCGGAGATTTGCTGCAATATCCCACTCAAGATTTAACCTCTTCAGCGCCCACATGGCCTTGTGTTCTAACTCAACCGAAAGATGGTACGCGTTCCCAAATACCAACCATTATGGAGACATACCAATTGGAGTCTTATAAGCAGTCCTGTAAGCCACAAAGCATCATCCAATTTTCTTGACCAGTCAGTTCTATTTGCATTGACAGTCATTGACAATATGCTCTTTATCTCCCTATTAGAGACCTCAACTTGTCCACTAGCCTGAGGATGATAAGGGGTTGATACCTTGTGATTGACACCATACTTTGCAAGCAAAGTTTCAAATTCTCTATTGCAGAAATGAGAGCCCACGTCACTGATGATTGCCCGAGGAGTGCCAAACCGTGTAAAAATATTCTTCTTGAGAAATGCCACCACACTATGGGCTTTATTGTTGGGCAAAGCCACGACCTCAACCCACTTGGAAACATAATCAATAGCCACCAGAATGTATGTGTTGCCACATGAACTCACAAAAGGCCCCATGAAGTCTATGCCCCACACATCAAAAATGTCAACCTCAAGAATAGTGGTGAGAGGCATTTCATCCTTTTTGGAAATTCCACCTGCTTTCTGACATTCATCACATCTCTTGAAAAACTCACCAGCATCTTTATACAGAGTAGGGCAATAAAAACCATAGCTGAGAACCTTTGAAGCAGTTCTCGCCCCACCATGATGACCACTGTAGGGCAAGGAATGGCAAGCATCAAGAATACTCATTTGCTCCTCTTCCGGGACACATCTCCGGATCACACCATCATTACAAATCTTGAAAGGATAAGGTTCGTCCTATTTATAATCCAAGCTGTCCCGTTTAAGCTTCTTCCTTTAGTTAGAAGAGAGCTCACTCGGAACAATGCCGGTCACAAGAAAATTGGCCATATCGGCGAACCAACGCATACTATTCACAGAAACTAAGAGGAGATTTTCATCTGGGAATGCATCATTAACTTCGAGACCATCTTTGGGTCTCCCCTCGTCTTCCAAGCGGGACAAGTGGTCCGCCACTTGGTTTTTATAACCTTTCCGATCAACAATCTCTAGGTCAAAATTCTTGAAGCAATAAAACCCATCTCATCAATCGAGCTTTAGAATCCTTTTTTGTCATCAAGTAATGGAGTGCCGTGTGATCAGTGTGAACAATCACTTTGGCACCCATGAGATAAGGCCTAAACCTCTCCATTGCAAACACAATTGCTAGCAACTCTTTATTTGTCACCATGTAATTAACCTGAGCATCATTCATAGTTTTGCTTGCATAGTAAACTGGATGAAACATCTTGTTCACCCTTTACCCCAAGATCGCTCAACCGCAACGTCACTAGCATCACACATGAGCTCAAAAGGCAAGCTCCAATCGGGTACGGTGATGATGGGAGTGGTAGTCAATCTATACTTGAGAAGCTCAAAAGCTTTCATGCAATCATCATTAAACACAAACTTTGAGTCCTTTTCTAACAATTTGCACAAAGGATTCACCACCTTGGAAAAGTCCTTGATGAATCTTCGGTAGAACCCCGCATGCCCAAGAAAGCTCCTCACTCCTTTGATGAAAGTAGGAGGAGGGAGTTTTGAAATCACTTCAATCTTTGCTTTGTCCACTTCTATACCGTTCTTTGAGATCTTATGGCCGAGGACAATGCCCTCCTCGACCATAAAGTGGCATTTTTCCTAATTAAGCACTAGATTTGTCTCCTCACATCGGGCCAACACTTTGTCAAGAATTACCTAAGCATTCTTCAAAAGAGTCACCCACAACACTGAAATCATCCATGAACACTTCCAAGAAGTCCTCCACCATGTCGGTAAATATAGCCATCATACACCGCTGAAAGGTAGTCGGTGCATTACACAAACCAAATGGCATCCGAGAAAATGCAAAGGTGCCATATGGACATGTGAAGGTGGTTTTCTCCTGGTCCTCTAGTGCAACAATAATCTGGTTGTAGCCTGAGTACCCATCCAGAAAGCAATAGTAAGAACGCCCAGCAAGTCTATCCAACATTTGGTCAAGAAAGGGCAATGCAATATGATCTTTGCGTGTCACTTTGTTCAGTTTTCGGTAGTCCATGCATACCCGCCATCCTGTGACAGTCCTAGTGGGGATCAACTCATTTTGCTCATTTGTGACCACAGTCATACCCCCCTTTTTCGGCACACATTGGACCGGTGAAGTCCATGAACTATCCGAGATGGGATACACGACCCCTGCATCTAGCCACTTGATAACTTCCTTCTTGACAACCTCTTGCATAGCCTCGTTCAATCTCTTTTGATGTTCCACGGAGGGTTTGGAATCTTCCTCAAGTATAATTTTGTGCATGCAAAAGGTGGAGCTTATCCCCGAATATCAACCAGAGTCCATCCAATTGCCCTTTTTCCTTCTTTGAAGCACCTCAAGGGTAGCATCTACCTGCACATTAGTAAGGCAAGAAGAAAGAATAACAGGTAAAGTTTAACAAGGGCCTAAGAATTCGTACCTGAGGTGTGGAGGTAAAGGCTTAAACTCAAATACGTGAGGTTCCTCGATTGAGGGCTTTGTTGGTGGAGTCTTTCTATTCTCAAGATCCAAGGAGAGTTTACGGTGCTCATAGGAGTAAGAACTCATTCTGTGCAGGGAATTGACACACTCTACCAAGCCTTCATCCTCGGTCACATCATGGTTCAACAATACCGCTTCCAAAGGATCCTCCACATTGATAATGGCACTCGTGTCATAAACTATCACCTCTGTTACCAGATCCACAAAAGAACAAACCTCAGTACTATTCGGCTACCTCATTGATTTGCACACATGGAAGATAACTTTTTCGTCACCCACCCGGAAGGTGAGTTCCCCTGCTTCCACATTAACCAATGCCTTTCCGGTTTCTAGGAAAGGCCTTCCCAATATTATCGGCACCTCATAGTCAACTTTGTAGTTGAGGATCACAAAATCAGCAGGCAAAATAAACTTTTCCACCCGGACAAGAACATCATCAATAATACCAAGTGGCCTCTTCATTGTTCTATTGGCCATTTGCAATCTCATTGAAGTAGCTCTCGGTTGACCAATACCCAAAGTTTTGAATACGGAATAAGGTATCAAATTTATACTAGCTCCCAAATCACACAATGCCTTTGCAAAATCCGCACTCCCAATGGTACATGGAATGGTAAATACGTCGGGAACTTCAAGCTTTGGAGCCATCGAGTACACAATAGCACTCACTTGATGAGTCATTTTGATGGTCTCACAATCCATAGATTTGTTTTTAGTTACCAAGTCTTTCATAAACTTGGCATATCCCGGCATTTGCTTAAGATCTTCCACCAAGGGCACATTGATCGACAAACTTTTTATCATCTCAATAAACCTCTTGAACTAGTTTTCATTCTTCTGCTTTGCAAGGCTTTGAGGGTAAGGTGAAGGAGGTCTAGGAAAAGGAGCCTTGGATTTAGGCATTACCGGTTTCGGCATGTCTATTACGTGTTCCCTAGATGAGTTCACGTCATTGTGAGTCTCCTCCTCATTGTCATGAATATCAATTCTCACCTCACCATTCACATTCTCTTTACTCACTTGCTCAACAACTATAGGATCATCTTCATATTGCACTTCAACATCATCACTCACAACAACCTTTTGCTTGGATGTACTTGCTTCACCTAGGGGTGTGCATTCGATTTATCGATTCAATTTTGACCCTTATTGATAATTACTTATCAATTATCGAATTGTACATATGCTTATCGTTATCGTTTCAATAAGGTTTCGATTTTTTCAATTTCAATTTATTGATTATTGGGGCTTATCGATTCGGTTATTGATTACACCAATAAGAAAATTTGTGGTAGTGGGGGCATGCGTTCGTGCGGCCCCTACCCAATTCTTCACCTAAAGGTTTTTGCTCAATGGGTTTTATATTAACTAGCTTTCTATCAACCAGTAGCTGCCCTGTTTTTGCAACAATTCAAACACTAGAAATACAAAACCTCATTGTAGGGTCAAGACGAACATATTCTATGCAACATTTCATCATAATCATGTTATGAACATCTATTTCTTCCCAAGCAGCAAGAAACTGAAATAAACCAAAGCTTAAATACTATTCAAGTGAATCAAACGATGAAGTAGACAAAGTAGCAAAGCCACTTCTATTTGAGATGTGGACTTTCAACCATATGTAGCTTAAGTACAACTACATAAAGAGGCAACAACAACTCTCGATGCTAGTTTAACAAAACAAAATGTGTACCTTATTTTTCAAGAGTAGCAAGACCAAGTTTCTAATGTTCTTGTTTAATGTAAAAGAAGTAATAGATTATATCTATGCTACAGATCCAAATTTTGGAACTTATCTACCATGAAGAGAAGAGATTACTTGTGCAAGACATTCTGTGATCAGTACAATATTTCCAAAGCATAGTTCCAGAGGTAGTTGAGTCAACTCGTAAAATGCCTCATTCTCTCCAAATCTTATACCAAACTGGTAAGTTCTACTACATTTCATCTAAGCAAAACAAAATACATCATTAATTTGAAATTCATTCCCTTGAGCTTTAAATATGATCATTCCTTAAATGTGGTATCCCTTGCTGAAAGTCCTAACCTTTAAACCGAGAAGAAATTAAGAAAAATAATAAGAACTTCGTAATGCATCACATTCTTTTACAAGTATATTATTTAAAATGGAAAACTTACATAGCAGCTAACAAACTCTAGCAAACATCGTCGGTGGAAGCTTCTTCGCCAAGATTAGTAAAATATAATAAGAATATATATTAACAAGTCAAGCAATTAATATATTATTTAACTATATTAAGCAATACAATAAAATTAATTAAAATATACATACCTTCCTCGAGTGTCTCGAGAAAATCTAAATCTTCCTCACCATTTACAAGAAGCGATTCACTCCGAAGCCAATCTTGAAGGCACACTAGAGTTTCAACCAATTTAAGAGTTAATGAACTCCTAAATTGGTCAAGAATACGCCCTCCGGTACTAAATGCACTTTCAGATGCCACACTTGAAATAGGAATAGAAAGCACATCTCGAGCCATATTAGCAAGAATAGGAAATCTAGGTGAGTTCACCTTCCATGAAGCCAAGAAATCAAAGTCCGGTCTTTCATTTTCAGGATCTTCTGCAAGATAATTTTCCAATTCTGTTTTAGAATCTACACCTCCACTTGCAGATTTATGTTTCCTTATTTCATCTAAAAGTTCGCCTAAACCAGGAGTTGAAGTTTCCATTGTGCTGAATGAAGAGCTTGGCAAAGAGGTAGAAACTTTACCACCAGTATCTTTTGAAACCAATTTAGAGACATACTCATTAAACAATGAACTCATATAAGTATGAACCTCTTTTTCAATAATTGTCCCTTCGTCTCCAAACATCTTCTTAAGTACAAAACTAACAGTAGTAAACTTGTAGCGAGGAACCAAAACACAAGCAATGAAAATCATTTTGTTCATTTTTGTTGGTTCACCCCAATACTTCTCAATTTTTTTCCACATACATGATGCCATCTCACTCAAAAGTACATCTTCAGTTGTTATTAAGCGATTTAAGCAAATAGCAACTTGACCAATTTCAAGAAAATGGGAATTCGATGTTACATAAAGTGATCCGGACACCTTCAAAGTGAGATTATAAAATATTTCAAGAAATTGTGCAATTCTCTTTACATCATCCCAATCAGTTCTTGTAAGCAAACCTATAGGCTTTCCAACTGAAATAGCATCAAACATAAGATAACATGACAAGCCGGTATCATGATCAGAATATTCTTTAATTGCACTCTCATATTCAATAGCCCTGCTCAACATCAAGTGGGTGAAATTCCACCTTGTAGGAACATCTAAGCATAAAGACTTCTTGACAATATTTTCACTTTTAAAATATTCCTGAAACTTCCTCAACCTAGCAGGAGACTGTCTAATGTATCTGACTGCACATCTAACACGAGCAATAGAAATACCTGACTCTTTTAAACCATATTTCACAATAAGATTTACAATATGATACATGCATCTCATGCGAAGGTGTTGACCATTCATGGAATTGATTCCCCAATCATCTAATTTGTCAGACAACTTCTCCACGGTCACATCATTTGAACTAGCATTGTCAACTGTGACGGTGAAAATCTTTTACAAACCCTACTCACGCAAATAATCAATAATTCACCTTGTCATATCTTCACCTTTATGACTAGTAATTGGAGAAAAGTTAATAATTCTTTTATGCATAATCCATTCACTATCAATCCAATGGGCTGTGATGCACATATAGTTAATTTTTTAAATAGAAGTCCATGTATCGGTGGTAAGACTTACTCTTTGACTTGTGCCTTTAAGAAACTTCATTAATTTATTTTTTTCCACATTAAAAAGAGCAAAACAATCCCGTGTAACAGTAGTACAGGAAGGAATATGAAAACAAGGTTGTGCCACTTTTATAAAGTTTCTAAAGACTTCCTTCTCAACAAAACTAAATGGAAGTTCATAAACAATCACCATGCGACACAAAGCCATCCTACACTCTTCTTGATCAAATCTCCATGGAATAAGATCTCCTTTATTACCTCCCGACACTGTTTGATATGGTAATAGTTTTTGATCATTTTTAACTTTATAAGGATTCCTTGGACATTTACTGATATGACTATGCATTTGTGTTGTACTTTTGCCTTTTGTCTCAAAATATTCTTGTCCACAAAATCTACATGCATATTTATTATTTCCTTTAGCATCAACTTTTTCTTCAAAAAAATCTCATGCCTGAGATCGTTTTTTCCTTTGTTTTATAACTGTCGAGTGAGTAGTTGCAGCAGTAGACTCAAAATCTCTACTTTCATCAACCACTTGATCAATTTTATCATTTTCAGCCATATGAAGTGAATTAAGAATGTAACTTACAGTCTTAAACGAGTTGAATGAAGCAAAGCAAGACGAAGTCAGCACTCCTCGCAATTGAATCTCATCTTAGAGCTGTCAAGTGAGCGCAACTGCAAGCAAAAGTTTCAGGCTTTCAGTTTTGGTTTGTATCCACTTAGAATAACATTAAGAATTAAAAAGGAATTATGCATCACTAAAACTGCGACACGCTGAAGTATTTTCATGATTTTGTAAGATGCTTATATTTTATACTTGTTTTGATGAATATAGCAAGTGTAAGATTAAAAACTCAAATATTTATGATAACAAGTAAATTGAACAATAGCAGTTAAGCCTTATTATAATTCTCAAATTTGATCGAAACTAGTAGAAGTCGAGGTTGAGACAATTTATATACTCCACTGTCAAGGTCAATGTTTCTGTCTCATAAATCTTACAATTAAGCTTATTCAATCATTGGTATCATTTCAAATCTCACCTTCTCAAACTAGTGTCAACCTTAAAAAAACCACTTTAAATATCTCTGAATTAATATTTTTTCTTTTTGAGAAGTAAATAAATATTTCTAAAATAATTGTAGTTGGAGACATTGGAGATTTCTTACAAGTACAAGAACTGAAGAACAATACTGGCAAAGTAGAGTACTATATTCAATTGATGAATCATAAAACTAGTAATGACTAATAAGAAGGTAATATAATCAATTAGGAGTAGCGTGAACTGACTAGAATAAATCATTCTTAACCAAAAACAAAAATTAATTTCTACATGGTACCTGCCAAGAGCTTTCCGGAAACGGCGATAATCAACAGCGGCAGTGGCGAGTGGCGATAGAACAGAGCTAAGTTTGTACTTTGTAAGCAGAAAGTGAAGACTGAAGAGTCACCTAGTATTGGGTCTACGCACAGTGAAGACTGAAGAGAAGCGGTGCTGAAGAAGGGAGGAAATAATAGGGTTAGCTGGTTAGGGACTTAAGTGAAGGGAAAGGGTAGTATTATAGAATAAGGATATATTTGTCTTTTTAGTATATGTTATCGGTTTATCGATACTGATAACCGAAGAGAACAAAATCGAAATTGAAATCGATAACTCGATAAGGAAAATTTCGAAATCGAAATCTATAAATTAATAAACCGATAACAAATAATCGATTCGATATCGATAAATCGATTTGAATGCACACCCCTAGCTTCACGACCTCTACCGCTCCTTGTGATCACCACCATAGCATGGCCGGTATTATTCCCACCCTTCGGGTTTACTACTGTGTCACTAGGTAGTAACCCCTTAGGGAGAGTATTTAACGCTTGCGAAATCTGACCAAGTTAGACCTCTAGATTGTGGATCGAGGTAGTATGGGACGCTAATTGAGCATCAGAATCGGTATTCTTTTTTATCATTTGCTCAAACATCAACTAAATCCTTCCCATATTATTGTTTAATGAGCAAGGACCTTGGGATAGAAATAGAGGTGGATTGTTTGTTGTTGAAACTTTGGAGGTCTTTGAAAACCCGGCCCCCGATTACCTTGATTACCATTATTCCACCCTCTTTGGTTGTTGTTGCCACCCCAACTGTTGTTGTTGCCCCAGTTCTGATTGTTGTTCCCCCAATTGTTGGAATTGTTGTTGTTATTGTTCTAATTTCCTTGGCCTTGGTTGCCCCAATTCTGATTATTCCATTGCGATCTCCATTGTTGGTTTGGAGCATTACCTCATTGTCCTTGACAGTTGTTGGCATACAAAACCTCTTCACTTTGCTCACAATATCCATCATCATGGTTGTAACCACTACTACCTTGATCAAACTGATCTTGATTGCTTTGCATTTGTTGACCAGACTGTCTCCTTTTGTTTACCAGTAGATTAACACCTTCCATTGCGTTTACTTGCTTTGGTCCTTGAATCTACTGAAGTTGTGCTTTGACTAACTGGTTCATGGTTGTTGTCAACTCATCTATGGCTTGTCCGTGGTCCTGAAGTTCCTTGTGAGGATTTATGACATGAGGATCCCCCTGAGGAACATTCGCCCGACTCTGCCAGGCTGATGAAGTGTTAGCCATCTCATCAAGAATCTCGCAAGACACAGTATAAGAGAGCTTCATAAAATTACCCCCTGCTAACTAGTTTACCACACATTGATTGGTCGTGTTTATACCCTGGTAAAATGTCTGTTGGATCATTGCTTCAGTCATATCATTGTTGGGGCATTCCTTGACCATAGTTCTATATCTATCCCAGATTTCATGAAAGGGTTCATTTGGTTCCTGTTTAAATGCTAAGATCTCATCCCTTAATGCAGCCATATGTCCCGATGAGAAAAACTTGGCTATAAATTTGTCGGCCAACTCATCCCATGTATTGATGGAATGGTTAGGGAGTCTTTCGATCCAGTCCAAAGCTTTCCCTATATGTGAAAAAGGGAATAATCTCAGTCTCAATGCATCCTCCGACACGCTTATTTGTTTGCTTCCCCAGCAGGTATCCACAAAGCCCCTTAGATGTTTATATGTATTCTGATGGGGAGCACCTGTGAAGTACCCTTTTTGCTCCAATAAGGTCAGCATGACAATTGTAATCTGGAAATTGCCTACCCGGATATGAGGTGGGACAATTGCACTTGCGTACCCTTCATTTGGAAGCTCCCGAGGAGTTACTTGTGGCGGCGCTGGGGGAGGGTCTAGAATATTATCATTGGCCTGGCGGGCTCTTCTTTGACTTTGAGGTACTAGAGGCACCTCATCTTCACCATTATCATCTACCTCCTCCCCTAGGATAACATTTCCGTTAGGATCATTATTTGCCATTTCGTACCTGAATCGATTAACTCACATAAATTAGTGAAACAGAAGGAAAGAAAAACAAAACACACAACTAGTCATATAGATAGCCACAACCATTTAACTCCCCGACAATGGCGCCAAAAAGTGATTAGCTCCTACCCTACACCACAATATAATGGCGAGGAGTGGTCAATGCAGCTTTTACCCGAAAGGTCAGGATCAAATCCACAAAGAGCTAATATTGGTTTGGAATTGGATTTCTATCCAATCTAGCTATGTGCGTTGTTCTTAATTGCACTTCTAAACATGTTTGGGTTTGTTAATATTCTACTTTAATGCTAATGAATGCTGAAAATAAGCTAAGAACAATGTTTTTGTAAGGGTTTTATCAAGTGATAAAAGTCACTAGGGAAGTGACTTACACCTAGGCGAGTATCTAATGGGATCTAAGATTTAGGACAAGCTTGTTATATTTGGGGTTGTGATATAACCATTACACAAAATTACTCACTCTATACATCTCAGTAGTTTGAGTGACTTTGCCCTAATTGGCTTTCTCAAGCCCAATTGGGTGTTCAAACAATACAAGTAAAATTGGCTCAAGTCGAGTATTACTATCTCTAGATTTTACCCTTTAATTGGGGCTATCAATCTCTGAGTGCACCCCAATTCCTTGTTAGCCAGAATTTTCTAGACTTAGTCCTTCTTTCTCAAGAAGAGTCTAAGTCATAAAAGCATGAATCAGTATTTGCAACCACCAATTCTACAATTAAAGCATGAAACAAGCTAAATATCACTAACCTATAAACAATTAAGCCCTAAAATAGAAGACCCATGAAATACCCATACTAGGGTTCGGTCACAACCTTAGCTAATGGGTTTAGCTACTCATAATAAAGGTAGAAATCAAAGATGGCGATAAAATATAAGCCATAAATATTGATTACAAAGATAAAATCTAAGTATAATAGCTAAAGATACTCTAAACTTACTTAAAATAGCTAAGTACGGTGGTTCACGAGCTCTCCGGTACAAAAGATACCCTAAAAATATGAAAAGATCTATTTATACACAGCTAAAATTACTAGACAAAAGTGCCCCTACAGAGGTTCCGCTGACAGCGGATTAATGAGCGCATCAGCGCTTGGACTTCCGCGGCCGCGCAAAATCAAGCTCGGACCGCGGTTCTTCTCTTTTGGACTGGGACTGGACTTGATTCCGCTTGGAATGGAAAAGCAATCGCCTCAGCGTTGTTTGCAACCGCGGCCGCGAAATATGTTCGCGGACCATGCTCTTCACTTGAGCTCAATTTTCCATTCCTCTGAATCTCAATTTCGCCCTCAGCGTTATTTGGACCGCAGCTGCATCGCGTAATTCCGCTGTTGTGCTATTTCAACGCGGTCAGTAGCCTCTGATGCCTTCAAAACTCCTTCTCTGAACCTTATTTCCGCTGGGAGCGTAATTGTGGTCGCCCCAGCAGTTGTCCTTCCGCGGCCACACTCTTTCATCGCTGCCAACACTTTTTCTCTCAGCTTTCAACTTGTGCAGATTTACTCCTTTATGAGCTGGTTATGACTTTATTACTTCATTTTAACCAAATCCTGTGAACAAGCACAATAAGTCAGTTTTCGGGAATACTTTTACACATTTTTTATCCAAAACCTAAGCAAAAGTGTGTCACGACCCCGAATACCCCGGTTGTGATGGCGCCTATCACAATACTAGGCAAGCCAACCCAACAAGTAACCACAGTGAATTCTTTTTATAAAACTATTTTTCTAAAACTGATTAAGTCTCGAATTTTCATAAGAAACGTACTAAATCATTGAAATGTGCGAAAAACAATGCAAAAATAAACCAACACAGTCCAACAATCCGGTGTCACAAGTCAAGATCCTCTAAATACAACCCAATCTGACTGACTAATACATAATAAGTATAAAAATGCAAAAAACTAAGATAGGAAGGAGGAAAGCAGGGTTGCGAACGCCGTGCAGCTACCTTGTAGTCACCGGTAAGCTCTGAGAATGCTGGGGACCCTCAATCTATCACTCGAGCACCTGGATCTGCACACAAGGTGCGGGGAGTAACATGAGTACGTCAACTCGGTAATTAACTAAAGTAAATAAGGTCTATGTGTAGTGACGAGCAGTTAAAAATCATATATATATATATATATATATATAATCCTCACCATTATGGCCTCAACCTCTCTCAATAATTAACCTCACAGCCACTCGGGCATATCAGTGGAAATAAGGGAACCCAACCCAAGCAGTTTTTCACATTTTAAGAAGTAGAGTGATAAAACCAGATTTAAATAATAAACAGGTAAAACATGAATGAAGATTTGCTTTCAAACAAATAGAGTGAGGAAAATAGTAAAAAATACCCCTAAGGGTCAAAACAGGTTGGCACAAGGCCCCAAACATGGCATACAGCCCAAAATATAGTATCAACCTCTAAAACACGAGATATCATAAGATTTCACATCAAATACGCGGCTTAATAGTTGCTATGGGATGGACCAAGTCACAATCCCTACTGGTGCACGCCCACACGCTCGTCACCTAGCATGTGCGTCTCCTCAATCATCAAAACAATACGAAATACCGGGGTTTTATACCCTCAGGTCCAGATATACAATGGTAACTTACTTCAAACTGAATGAAATACTACTCCATGACGCCTTTGTCTCTCGCTTCGGCCTCAACTAGTGCAGAATCTACCCAAAATAAGAATCATAACATTAGAATGTGCTAAGGGAACGAAGCCCATGAAAAATAATCAAATTACACCAAAAATCCCGAAATTGGTCCAACCTGACCCTCGGGCCCACATCTAGAAATTCGATAAAAATCACATCAACGGAATCCTTATCCTCCCACGAGTTCATACATACCAAGAATACCAAAATCCGACCAAAAATGACCCTTCAAATCCCTAGATTAAGGTCTCAAGTTTCCAAGCCCTAACTCCCCAAATTTTTGGTTTCAAACCCCCCAAATTTCATGTTTAATTAGGTAAAAATTACAATAGGATCGAGTATTAAGTCCATAATTCTTACCTCCAAGAAGTTCTCTTTGATTCCCTCTTCAATCTCTCTCAAGAAGCTCCAAAACCGAGTCAAAATGGTGAACTTAGGCCAAAAATCACAAAAATGGCCTTTTTAAACATTCTGCCTAGCTATTAAAATTACTTAATCGCGATCACGAAGCACAAACTCCGCTGGCCCATAATTTACCCTACGGAATCGCGAATATACCCACGCGTTCGCTATTCATCACCTGCACAACTCACCCGATCGCGACTCCAGATACGCAAATGCAAAGAACGGCCTGGATTGCCCCTTACAAATGCCCTACGCGATCGCGATCCTCCTCACGCGATCACGAAGAAGGAAATACCTGCAATAGAACTAAAGCAAAATCTGCAACTTTTCCAAACATGAACTTGATCCGTTAGCCACCTAAAACTCACCCGAGGCCCTCGGGACCTCAACCAAACATGCCAACATATACCATAACATCATTCAAACTTGTTCCAACCTTCGAAATGCTCAAAACAACATCAAAACACCAAATTTACATCGGATTCAAGCCTAAGAATTCCAAAAACTTCCAAATTCCGCTTTCGATCAAAAAGTCTATCAAACCTCGTCCAAATGACCTGAAAATTTGCACACACATCGCAAATGACACAACGGACCTACTCCAACTTCCAAAATTCTATTCCGACCTCTATATCAAAATCTCACCTATCAACCGGAAAATGCCAAAATTCTATTTTCGCCAATTAAAGCCTAAATCTACTCCGGACCTTCAAAACACATTCCAATAACGCTCCTAAGTCCCAAATCACCTCTCGAAGCTATCCGAGCCTACTCAAAAGAAACTAAGTGTGTCAAACCTTACCAAAACCTCTCCGAACCCAAACCAACCAACCCGATAACATATAATACAGCTGAACAAGACAATAAGAAGCAGAAATGGGGGAAACGAAGCGGCAACTCATGAAATGACCGGCCGGGTCATTACATCCTCCGCCTCTTAAACAAACGTTCGTCCTCGAACGAGTCAAGAAACATACCTAAAGCC